TTCCTGCCCAGATCACTCCCCCCACCAGCCCCTTTGGCCCAGCTTTGGGCCACCCCCCCCCCAAGCATCCCCCGGGCCTGGTCACAGGTCACAGGAGAGAGGTCAGGGGGCAGAGAGCAGGAGAATAAAGGAGTCTAAGACACATAGAGGCTGGTGGGCTGAGGCTGGGCCTCAGGAGGAGCTCCCTCCCGGGAGAAGTCTGTGTGGCCCCCTTTTTAAATAAACCCTGCTCTATATGCTTGAAAAAAAGAAATTTTGTGTCTGTGTTCATCAAGGAAATTGGCTGGTCATTTCCTTTTCCTTATCTGGTTTTGGTATCGGGGTGATACACTTTGAAGGATGAATCTGGAAGCTTCCCCTTCTCTGTCTAAGTCCTGCAGTAGTGTGAGGCGGTTTCTGTAAACCCTGCTGTGAATCCCGCGGTCTTGGGCTCTTCTTCAACGCTGTGCTGTTGATTCCTGGTTCAGCCTCTTGCTCTTCGTTAATCTGATTAGGTTCCTAACGTCCCCTTGGTTCAATTTTGGGAGCTCATTTGTGTCTGGAGACTGATCCGTTCCTCCTAGGTTTGCAGTTTGTTGGGATCTCAATTTTCAAAAGAGCCCAACGATCCACGGGATCTCCGTGGATCTAATGCAACAGTCTCCCTTCTCCTTTCCCGTTTGATCACTTTGGGTCTCTCTCTCCCTCCCTCTCTCTCTCTCTCTCACTTTCCCCCCAGGGAGGGTCTATCAGTCTCATCTCTTCAGAGAACCACCCCGCGGTTTGATGGACCTTTAGTTTCCAGTTCACTGATCCCGCTCTGCTCCAGCTCCTTCTCCCTCCCGGTTCCGCTCAGTTGCTCCCTGTTTTCCTGAGGCCTCGGGAGGCACCAGCAGGTGCTCATCTGGGATCTCTTTCCGGCTCCTCCTTCCAAGTTCCCCTCGAATCCCGCGCTTTTATCCTGCGGTTTTGCAGGTCGCTTCTCTATTTTTACTTGATTCTAGGAATTTGTGAATCCCCCCCCCACCGCCTTTCATCGGTGGCCACTGACGGTTCATGAGTGACCGTCCCGTCTCCTCGTGTTCCTGTCATTTCTGTCCTTTCCCTCTCTGTCGGATCCTAGTTTCATTCCATTATTGTCTGCAAGAAATCGTGGTGATCATGTTGCCCTTGTCGATCCTTGACTTACGGCCTAAGAGATGAGCTCTTCGGGAGAAAGAAAAGTTCTCTTTGTGGTCCTGATGCGGCTGTCCCTCCCCTGGACACGGACCCGGGCACGAGACCCAGACCTGCCAATCAAAGCCTTCCCCGGGATTTTCTTTTTTCTCTCCTGGGGGGTGGCGGGGGCAGTGCCCTGAAGCCCGAAGTGACCTGATAGAAGCCTGGAGCTGAGAGAAGGAACAGACAAGGACATCTGGGTCCCGGTGTCTGGATGCCTCCTTTCCGGGACTGAGCCAGTGAATTCTGGTTTAAACCGGCCTGAGATCATTACTGACAACCGAAGTAGCTGCCCGAGATCTGCGTGATCCGTTTCCCCTTACTGACCGTGGTTCCCTCTGGTGAGCGGGGACACCTTCCTGTCCCTGCCGGGTGCCTGGCCAGAGGCGCCCCCTGTGAGGGCCACCCGGAGGAGTCGCGGTGGTACTGCCTCCGGGCCCTCCCCCACGGCCAGCAGGGCCAGCAGGGCCAGGGGCCAAACACGGGTGAGGAGCCACAGGGAAGGCAGGCCACCTGGAGGCTCCTGTGCTCCCCACGCCCGCCCCCGGCCGGGTTCCCGGGCCAGACCCTCGGCAGCCCCCAAGATGCCGGGACGTGCCACCCTCTGGCCTCCCGATGCTGCCCCCAGACCAAGTCCTTGAGAGGAAATAAGAAAATGACCAAGGGGACCTCAGAGACGATGGCCGCTCTGCCCACTGCTGCTGCCTCCCACCGGCCTGTCTGAAAACCAGGTGCCCACCCGGGGACCCAATCCCCTGCTCAAGCCATGAACAGTGCTCGGTCCAGAGCAGCCCTACGGGGCCCTCGGCTGGACCTGAGTGGGTGGGGACTCCGACTCGCTGCCCAAGGGACACAGTCTGCCCGCCCCAGCCTCAGTTTCCCACCTGTGACCTGGGTCCTCGCATTGGACACCTCTAAGCTCCCTGAGCCCTCTTGCCCTTGAGCCAGCTGCATTCAGGTGAGAAATGCTGGGCCCTAGGACACACAGGAAGGGTCACCATGAGGTTTTGCTATGATTGAAGTCGGTGCTAGAACTTTCCTGTCTTGCCCTCAGGATGGGCAGGTAGAGGGGAGGGCAGGCCCATGAACTTCTTCCTAAATGTTCAAAGTGACACCCGAATGACTTCAGAGTGGAGACTGGAAGCCAGACGGCTCAGGGCTGCAGTCTGAGCTTTGCCACTTCCTGACTGTGTGGCCTTGGGCAGGTGACTTAACCTCTCTGACCTCATTTTCCACAATTACAATATAGGGGTTATAGTAACATACCTGATTGGTTTGTGGAAGGGATTAAATGAGATGATGGAAACTTGGCATGGTGCCTGGCATGTAGTTAGCATTCCATGAATGCTAGTGGTGGTTGTTTTGGGACGTCCCAACTCCCTGTTTGGAAATTGCATGTGTTATCCCAAAACCAATTGTGAATCTTCTGCCTAGGACACAGCTGGGAAACCTGTCCCCCATTTAGGGCAGAATAGACTGACCTCTGAAGACAGAGCTTTAAGGAAGACACTTCCTACCTTCATCCTTCTTCCTACCTGGAATTTAGGCATAACAACTAGAGATCAGGCAACCGCTTTGGGCCATGGTGAGACTTGAAAATAGAAGGAAAAATTCAAAAGGAGCCTAGGTCTATGACCAGGCTGCTAAGGGCAGCTCTACACTGCACGCCTTTTTCCTCATAAAAGATAAATAAACTGCTGATATATTTTTAAAACCATTGATTTGGGTTTCTGTTTCAGGTTAGCAACCTGAGGAAGGTCTCCATTTTGCAGATGATAAAAAATGAGGCTCAGACAGAAAGAAGGCTGATAGGAGATCGCCCAGTGAGGTAGTGCTACTCGGTCTGACCCAGGTCCCCAGGGCTCCCCAGTGTGGGGTCTGCCAAACTCTCAGCTGCCCACCGAGTCCTGGCCCCAGACTGTAGTCACACCAGCTGTTCAACATGACCAGGCCGCGGGGACATGGGGACAGTGGGGGCAGAGATGAAGTCCAGGGAGGCTTCTCAGAGGAGGCGCCGAGAGAGTCTCAGGAGTGGAACCATGACACTGCCACTCTGAGCGGCCCTCCAGACACAGGGTCAGCCAGGGGTCCCGGAGACCGTCCCAGGTTCCTGGTTCCATGAGGAGACCCTGCATTTGGTCTCAGAGCCGTGATCAGTGACAGTGAAAGGTCACACAGCCAGTCCCCAAGTGCCTGGGGAGAAGCCCGAGCACACCAGACCCAGATCTCGGCCCAGAGCAGCAGGGCAGGTGCCCAGCCTGACCCCATCGCACACCAACAGGCCAGGCCCCGGGACGCTCATCCCTTGGGAGTAGCTAGTGGGTGCTCCAGGCGCCCCCAAGGCCGCCCTGTGAGCCGGGCTTGCTGAGGACAGCAGCTCAGCCGGCTGGGAGTGTGCTTCCTCTCCGTTCTCTTTTTGAAACAGTTGCTGGTGCCTCAGACTCAAATGTAGTGAGCAAAACCTGGTTTACCACGGAGACAATTTCAACAAGTTTCCCAAGAAACGACCTTGAGTTGAGCAGAACCGGGGGAGGGACGCAGGTTCAAGGTCCTGGGTTTGCCAGGCTGGGAGTTGACATCCTGGCTTCTGGAGCCTGAACAGCCACCAACTCAGCCTCCCGCTTGGTGGAGCACGTCGCAGACGGGAGCCTCCATTTTCTCTTGAGGATTTCGTTTGTATCAGTGAGTTTTGGTGTGTAACAAAACAGCCCGCACATGGGTGACTTAAAGGACAAAAGCCTTAGCAAGTCGAGAGGCCTTTGAATGTTCCCAACTCAGAGAAAAGGTGAACACTTGGCTGTGCTGATCATCCTGATGTGGTCACGATGCCTCGCGTCCAGTGTCAGAATACCACAGCGCTCCACGAATATGCACCATGAGGTCTCAATTAGAAATAAAACTTGGAAAAATGTCGGTTTATTATTTCTCACGATTCTGAGGGTTGGCCAGTTAGGGTGGCTTGGCTTAGTGGCCTCCCTCGGGAAACCGCAGTCAGGAGGCAGTGGGGACGCTGGGCCTGTCTCCACGGGCAGAGACTGAAGGCCAGCCCAGGGTCCAGGGGAGGAGTAACCTTGGCATCAGCAGCCGGTGCCAAGGAGGAGCGGAGCTGGCTCCTGCCCCGACCGCACCTTCTCCGGAACCTTCCATCCCCTCCCCCTCCCCCACTCCCCACTCCGTGAGGCACTCGGCACCTGAATGCCCTCGCTCTCTCCACGTTTTGTCAGAGGCTGGGACCCAGGGTGGCCTCACCCTCAGAGGCCTCCACAGAATGGGGAAGCAGATGAACAGACCCCACGGGTCGTGGGGTTCCCGGATGAGCGTCTGCTGGTGGGTATTTCTTAACCTGCACCTTTTTCCATGAAGAATTTCAATCAAGCTGCAGAAAAGGCTCCAGCAAATCAATTGTGAGTTTTAACCAACGAAGAAAATTGAAGCCAAGAGGAGGAAGAGTTTCTGGAGCAACTACCGCGTCCCAAGCACCCCACACACATCAACTCGGGCCATCTCGGCCATATCCCTGGGGCGAGTATTATCACCCCCCTTGTACAGGTCAGCAAAACGAGGCTCAGTGCAGACTGGCCCAAGCTCACACGGGTCCTGAGTGGCAGAGCTGGGAGTCAAACGGCCCGAGGTCCATATGCTGTCAGCACAGCCTGGATGAACCTCAGATTTGATGAAGAGTTTCCCAGCAGCCCGAGAGAAAGGGGAAACAGGACCTACTCCCCACCCATCCCTCGACAGGAAGAAGCCACACGTCTCTGAAGCGAGCAGGAAGCCCTCCCTGGTGCTCTGTTAACGTGACTTTTCTCAAGTGGGAGCCGATGAAAGGGGCTTCGGGAGCGGAACATCCGGGGCTCAGCCAGGACGGGACACCCCTGGCCTGCCTCGGGCTCCTGGGCAAATGCAGAGCTGGGGGAGCAGGTGCTGTCCCCAGCAGTCCTCCCGGGGTGCATGTGGCGCCTGGGTGTTTCCTTCCGTCTGTCTGTCTCTTTATGCCCCTCGCTCTCTTCCCTGCGGTCCCTTCCGTGCTCACACCCCACAAGCAGAGGTCCCCGGCAGAACTGATGGAGGAAGTGCCGCTGCAGACCCCGCCACTTCCTCCCACGTGGGCTGGGCGGGGCCGGAGGAGGCTGGCACAGCCAGGTGACACTCCCCGCCTGGCCACCAAAGCAGCTGCGGGGTTAACGCCCGGGAGCAGGGCCACCTTCCCCCAGGGCCTTGGGATGGACCTGTGTCACCCAGGTAAGCGCCACAGCCCTGGGGCCTCTGTGTCCTCTGTGTCCTCTGCTGCAGGGTGGGCAGGGACCTGTCCCATGGTGTCCTGATTGTCACACGGTGGGAAAGGCAGGACCTTTTTGCCTCAGGGCGTGGGCAGAGCAGCACCGTCCCAGCCCCCTGGGCTTCTGCTCCGGGGGACATAGATGACAAATAGACTTCGGTGGCCAGTGTCTGCTGGTGGCCCACGGGAGATCAAGTGGCACAGCAGGATGGGGAGAGGGCAGGGGAATGGCCCCCGGGGAGGACACCACTGACCAGAGAAGGGGGGCAGAAGTGGCCTGCAGGGCGTCTGGGGAAAGAACGTTCCAGGCTAAAGGAATGGCCGCCCCCAAGGTCCAGGGCTGGGGCTGAGAAAGGGGCCACGTCCCTGCGCCTGGTGTCCCGGAAGGTTCACCTAGAAGACGGCACTGGCTGCAGGAGCGTCCGGTGCCCCAGGTGCGGGTGACCCTGACCTTCACCAGCAGCAGCACATGGCCGCCCAGAGGCGAAGCCCGGGGGCTCTGGGGACGGGGCAGGAAAACCTCTGTCCCTTTCAACAACAGGCAGGAGGGGACGGCCTCGGGAGGCGGAGGCTGGAGGACTTGGCCTCCCCCGGCTTCTGCCTCCCTCCTGCCTCCAATGCTCCTGTGGGCTTTTGGGGCCACTGGCTCCGTCCTGCACGGGCTGTGACCACAGCTCAGGGGACAGCTAGAAGGCAAGAGGAGAGGCGGCGAGGGCAGGGCTGGGCTCGAGGTCACTCAGCGGATGTGGAGGTGGAGGGTGAGCCGGGCCGCAGCCGGCCGCGCACCGTCATTACTTCTGGGTCCCACCTAGGGACGTCCCAGGGATGGCTGTCCCCAGGGTGCAGACAAGGAACCCGGGGCTCCGGGGTGGCCTGGTGGCCGGGTCCTGGCAGTAAGGAGCAGCGCCAGGGCAGGAGCCGGGAGCGGAGGGCGGGCGCGGGGGCGGGAGGCCCGGCTGAAGGGGGTGCTGCCTGGTTCCGCGGCCCTGGGGGAAGCGCTCCGTGGCCGTCTCTCCTCCTCCATTCATTCTGTGACCACCCTCCTGGGGCCGTGTGATGCTGGGACAGCACCGTCCCTGCCGCCCGCCTTCCTGTGGGGCAGCTGCTGGCCCAGGTGCGGGCCGGTGGGAAGAGGGGACAGGCTCTGCGGGCTCTGAGCAGGACACGGCAGTGGGCAGACCTGGGGACCCGGGAGGTGGGGTGATCGGGGACTCCGGGTCAGGAGGTGGACTCTGGGGCCAGCCTCCCGGGCTCCTGCTGGCCCTTCTACCTCTAGTGTGGACAGTGTGGCAGCCAAGGTCCCCAGTGCTGCCCCCGCCTCCTGCAGGGGACGTGTGGGGAGTGGTGTGACTTAGGGAAGCAGGTCAGGCCCCTCCCCAGGGTCCTGTGGGAAGGTGACAACCGTAGGAGACCCCGTGGCGGCTGCACAGCCGGACACAGGGGTGCCCGCCGGGCGTGGGGGTGGCGGGGCGACCCCCTCCTGCGCTGGGACTTGCAGGGCCTCCTGCCTGGGCCCGGGAAGGGGAAGTGGCCCAGCTGTCCTGGAAGCCGGGCCACAAGCGCAAAGGTTTCTAAAAATACAGAAGGAAAGAGGAAGGGCGACAGGGAAGTGCAGAGGTGCCGGCGGGCACCGGGGCGGGGGCGGGCACACAGCTGCCCCAGGCACCAGGCAGCCGCAGGCCCGGCCAGGAGGGAGTGGCCCGTGGCCAGTGGGATTGGGACCGCGCTATTTGTGTGTATTTTGATTATCACAAACACATCTCCCATGAGCCCACAGGGTGACAGTAATGTCACCACCACCAGTCTTGGAATCACAGGTGGCCGCTCTTGGGCAGTGTCCTCGTCTTCGTCCCTGAACCTCAGTGTCCTCAGAGTGGAGCGGGGAGGACACTCCACCTTTAACAGATGAAGGGTCAGAGACCCTTGGGTCCCGCAGGCCCCAAGCCCGTGACAGCAGGGGAGGACCCCAGATAGGCCCAGGTGTGAGTCCCAGTTCTGCCACCTCCCGGCTGTGTTGCCTTGGAAGTTCTCTCAACCTCTCTGAGCCCCAGGTGCCTCACCTGTGTGATGAGATTGGAAACACCTTCCTACAGAGTCATGCAGGAGGAGTGGACGGGACAGCAGGGAGCACGCAGGGCCCAGCTCACAGTAGGCGCTCAGCAAGTGCCCCTTTCCTTAACCCCTGGCCCGGCTGGCTCATGAGCCACGCCCACCCCAGAAGCGCAGCGAGGAATGAGAAGGGGGCAGGAGGGGATGGGGCTCAACAGCACAGGAGGTTGGCTGAGAGGAGACTGGGGAGTGGGCGGAGCTGACCGACGGAGGAAGGGCGTGTGGACGCAAGGGCGTAGGGCAGCCAGGGAGGAGGTGGGGAGGCCACCGTGGGCTGCTGAGTCCAGAAGGACCTGGGGCTTCTGTCCTCAGGACAACAGGACGTCATGGGACACTGGGGTAGGACAGCAGAGGGCCACAGGGAGACAGGGGAACCCGGCAGGCGTTCCAAGGAGATGATGGTGGTCAGGGTGGGGCAAGGTGGGAGGGGAAGGAGGGGGCAGGACAGAGGGCGTCCGGGCTCCTGGGAGCGAGGGACTCCTTCCAGTGCTCAAGGACACAAACACGGTGGCCCGTGAGCAGGGACGTGCGCTGGAAGCTCAGAAGCAGCTGGGACTGGGGACGCGAGTCTCTGGCCCATTAGCAGAGGTGAGAGCAGAGCTCAGGAGAGCCCGGAGGGGTGGTCTGGACCCACCACCCAGCTTGGGCAGAGAAGGCCAGCCCCTCGCGCCGCCTCCCCGCCATGTCCCTGTCATGCAGACGGCCCTTTTGCCTTCCAAGTCTCCATGTCCCCCTTGAGAACCCGGCGGCCCTGAGCAGAGCCTCGGTGTCAGTGAATTGGGACTAGATCCCAGCACTGCCCAGCAAGGCCACAATCTGGCTGTGTGACCAGAGCATGCCATGTCACCCTTCTGAGCCTCCGTGTCTTAAAATGGAAAATACCTACTATAGAGTCACGAGGACCAGGTGACACTGTGCACAGAGCTGCAGGCACGCGCAGGTGTCCATGAGCGTAGAAAGTTCCGTGGGAGACTGGGGCGGGGCTCAGCGGCGGAGCGTCTGCCTCGCACGTGTGAGGCCCTGGGTTCAATGCTCAGCACCAGTAAAAAAAGTAAAGGTCCCGGGTCCGTCTACTGTAAAAACACAGCTCCACGGGACTCGTGCCTGGTGCCCTGCCAGCCCCTGTCTCCCAGTGGGAAGCAGGACCTCTAGACAGTGCAGCATTGCAGGGACAAAAAGCAGCTCCCGGGGGGTCACCAGGAGGTGCCACACGTGGGGCAGTCTCCCTCCTGCCTTTGGCCCCTGTGCCCATTAAGCCCTGCGAGAGGCCTAGCTCAGGATGGGCGGGGCCTAGCTCAGTATAGGTGGGGCCTAGCACACAGTGGGCGGGGCATGGCTCAGGGTGGGCGGGGCATGGCTCAGGGTGGGCAGGGCCTAGCTCACAGTGGGCGGGGCCTAGCACACAGTGGGCGGGGCATGGCTCAGGGTGGGCAGGGCCTAGCTCGAGGTGGGGGCCTGGCTCAGGGTGTGTGGGACCTAGCTCAGGGCAGGCAGGTCCCCCACCAGGCAGGCGGCCAGGCTGCACCTCCACTGCCATCCATCAGGACAGTGCCTTCCAGTGGTGACACGTGTGAGGACTGGTGGGTCCCAGGGACATAGGCTCACCCCAGCTACCTTTACTCTGAAGGGTCCCTTGCACACCACAGTGTGACGTCACGCAGTGTTCTCTGTAAGCACTTGGACGTGGCACTGGCCCAGGCTCTGTGGACAGAAAGGCACACACGTCCGGGGTCAGGACACCTGCGGCTCCCGGCAGGTTAGTGGTCTTACAGAGGTCCAGTGGCATCTGTTGGCCACCTCGTTGCGGCTTGGCCTTCTGGAGAAACCGCGGTTCAGTGTCCACTCAGTGGTTAGACATTCAGTGTGACAGTGGCTGGGGGTGCCCTGGGGCATGGGGCCAGAGCCTCCCCCAGGGCACGAGGCTCCTCCATTCATACACCTGTGTACCCCACAGGGCGGCCCGGCAGAGGCTGGCCCAGGCCCTGGTGGAGGAGGCTGGCCCAGGCCCTGGTGGAGGAGGCTGGCCCAGGCCCTGGTGGAGGAGGCTGGCCCAGGCCCTGGTGGAGGAGGCTGGCCCAGGCCCTGGTGGAGGAGGCTGGCCCAGGCCCTGGTGTCAGGTGGTGGTTCTGTGTGTCCTGCGAGGACGTTTGGAGGACCATGAGTGTCGTGCACAGAAGCCTCCCACTCTGCCCACCCCAGGGCACCCCTCCCCTCCCGACCACCTGCTCCCAGGCTTCCTTCCTCCTGGCCCTGGTAGGACGCCAGCCACTCGCTGCTGCCCACGAAAGTGTCTGTCCTTCTCTCCGGCCCCTTCTTTCCACAGGCAGTGGGTGGCCAGGTGCCGCCCACAGCGCTGCCCTCCGGGTCTCCTGCCCACTGTCTCGGGGACACCTCCCGCAGGCCTCTGGCTCTCAGATCTGCAGTTTCTCCTCGAGCCCAGCACTGACCAACCACCTGTCACCAGGCTTGGGGGTCTCCCCCTCCTCATGAGGTCACAAGGGGCAGGACCCCAAGCTCTCCCAAGAGCCTGGGCCTCCCCAGGGCCTCCGCACCCCGTGCTCCCCTGGCTCATCTGTTCGCTGAACGCGCTGTCACCATTGATGGCCAGGTCCCCTCTGACTCTGTTCTGACAGGGGCAGGAGAGTCGTCTGATCCCAGGGGTCCACCTGGCTGTGCCTGTTCTGTCCTCGGTCCCCACACAGGACAGGAACCTACCTGCCGGACGACGGTCCGAGCCCTTTCGAGGGGCTGGCTGAGAGCCCACGCCCAGCGCTGCAGTGCAGACACCTTCCCTGGCTAGGGGTGGGCTCCGCGGTCACCCTCCAGACTGGTGGCCAGCTCAGAGCTGTGGTCCCCAGGGTCACATGGGGGAGTGGGCCCCAGGGGCAGTGATCACCCTGCCCTGCCCCCAGGACATGGCCTCACGCTTTACTCACTCTTAGCTGGGCCTGGGGCAGCGCCGTGGGCTCCCCACAGCCTTCCCCCAGCAATGACGGGGCCCCATAGTGCCAGCGTGAGGTCCAGGACCAACGTCCACTCCAACCCCACGTCTATAGACCAGGAAAGTGGCCGTGAACCAGGTGGACCCTGGGCAGGCTGGACCCAGCCAGAGCCCTGCTCAAGATCTGGCCTCTGTAGGCCCCACTCTGATGGGACCCAGATGACACTTCTGTCCTAAGTGCCCCTGTCAGCCTGGGTCCTGTGGCCAACATCCTCAAAATATGTGGAGATCCCCGTCCCCCCAATAGGTGGGGCAATAGGTCACAGGTGCTTTTTTACAAAGAACAGGAAGTTGTCACCATAGATCTTTGCCACAGTGTTACAGGGGAGGGCCTGAAAACTGGGTCAAGTCAGAAATGAGGGGAGGGGGCTGCACTTTTAGTGGAGTGGCTGTCCCTGGGAGGGGACATCCTTGGGCTGAGCCAGCTAATTCCCAGGGAGGGACCTGGCTGTGAGTCATGGGCAAGGTGCACCCCAGCAGTGGGGGGACGGGTGGCTTGTTCCTGAGGAGGACAGCTGGGCACTATGCACGGGCTGGACCTTCCTATGTGCTGGATACTTGTGGGTGTTTGACATTCCTGACAGCCACCCTCTGAGGTAAGACTGTGCTCACATTTCACAGGTAAGGACACTGGTTAGTCAGGCTCAGGTTTAGCTGCTGTAACAAAGAGACCAGAATAACAGCGACCAAAGTGTTCTCAAAACTCAGTGTTCTCTCAGAAAATAGTCCAAGGAAGGAGGTGGCCCCACCTGGTGGCCTGGGGACTAGGCCTCTGGCTCCTTGCGGTTCCGTTCCCTGTGGAGAGTCCAAGGTGGCTGCTCAGGCAATGCAGTGGGGCGCGGGAGTCACGGGGTGTTCTCTCCATGTTCACTCAGGGGAGGTGAGGTCTGTCCTTGTGAAGCCTTTGAGAAGTGTGACCAGCACCTTCTAAGGCTGGGACAGGACATTGGGATGAACAGACAGGGGAAGGCATCCCGAGAGGAGGGTTGGCCTGGGCCGAGCGGGAGGTGGGACCGAGGGCTGATCCTTTGGGGTGGGAGCAGCAGCTGGACGGGGGGCTCTGTGGATAATGGTGGGCACGAAGGCCGGGACTGGGGACACTACGGAGCCCCAGGGCCAGGAAGGGGACGTTTCTCCCTAAGGGACAGGGAGTCCCGGAGTTCCCGACCAGAGAGTGCAGTGGTTGGGATAGGACCACATGGGCATCCCCGTGGCGCCTCACGGACCCGCCACAGCCACGCGCCTCGTTTAGTTCACTTCCAGGTGACAGCGCGGCCAGCCCACCCCCAGGGCCCAACCCGGAGCGGCAACCTTGTCCCTGGGGCACCTGGGCCAGGCCCCCTCCTCTCTGAGCCTCAGTGTCTAGGAGCAGGGACTGTAAATCGTCCCCCAGTCCAGTTCTCCCATCGGCATGGCAAGGGCATCAGGCCGCCCTCCTAGGGGCCCATTTCCCAGCCTCCCTTGCTGCTGGGCATGGCCGTGGGCCTGCGCCCTGCCAACAGGTGGGAGGAAAGTGGAAAGGTGCTTCCTGTGGGTGCAAATAAAACAGTGAGTGAGTCACAGTCCTGTGAGCCATGAGGCGCGGGTGACAGCCCCAGGTGGGATGCGCTCAGCACTTACGCGGGACTGCCGGATCCTAGGTGCTCCTTGGCTCCACCGGCCGAGTCTGAGGGGAGGGGCCCGAGGGTCACCGCGCACGAGAGCCCTGCGGAGTCTCTATGGGGGTGGGAACACTGCACAGCTCAGGACAGTGCTCAGGGAGGGCCTCTGGCGGGGTGGCGTCCAGCCTGGGTGCAGGGCCAGCGAGCCCCGGGCTCTGCAGGGGAGGGGAGCACCAGGGTCTTCTCTCTGCAGACGCAGCCGAGCTGAGCAGTGGGGAGGCCGAGGAGCTGCAGAGGATCAGATGGCACCGGGACCAGCTCCTGGAGGACATCCAGGTGTGCAGGGCGCGAGCTGCACGCGGGGCCCTCCCTGCTGGCTCTGACCCCCTGATCAGAGAGCCCAGCCAGGGGCGGGAGACCAGCACAGCCCGGAAGTCCCCGGAACTGCCCAGGCTCAGGGGCCGGCCAGGCAGGGGCGGGGGAGCCATGGCAGGAAGCTGAGCCCACTCCAGCACACGGGGCGGGGGGTCCAGTCCCAGCCCAGGGGCCCCAATCAGGCCTCCTCCCCTGGAGGGGTGGACCCTTTGGTCAAAATAGCACCCAAGTGTGCCGAGCACTTGCCAGTTTCTTGGACGGCCACTCGTCACCAGGCTTCCAGACCCCACCGGGGGTTTCTCCGGTCGCCTTAGCGGGTCCTGCCTCTGAGCTATGCGTGGCAGGTCCCGCGGCCCCAGGCCCTTCCCGGCGCCCCTCGCGGCTTCTCCTTCTCTTCCTTTCCCTCCCCCTCCTCTCCAGCTGCCCTGACCACCCTGGTGACCGTTGCCCGGCCCGCCCCATGTGTGCACTTAAGATCCACAGAATCTCCCTCAGCTGGCATCTTGTGGGCGCCCGCCCCACGCCGGGCTTTCTGTACCACTGTCTGATAATATCCTGCCGTCTCACTGGCCTCTGATGGCCACGATCCCACCCCCAGTAGCCCTGAGCTCCAGGAAAGCAGAGCCCAGGCCTGCCTTGCCCGCCCCAAACCCCAGCCCAGGAGCCTGAGCCTCTATGTGCTCAGTTAACACTTGTGAGTGAACCCCGTTCTCCTCGGGGGAAGCCTCTTGGGTCCAGCTGAGACCACACGGACAGGAGCTGCCTGGCCTCGGATGAGCTCCCAGGCCCTCAGCTGGCCCTGAACCCCAGGACTAATCCTGGGAGACCCCACCCCCAGCACCCACAGGTCTTGGGAGGGGTGGGCGGGTGCCTCTCGGGGGACTTGGCTAGTGCTCATGCTGCTGCCCGGCAGGGGGAGCTGAACCAGCCGCCACCTCCCCATTGCCCAGCTGGGGTGGCCGGTGGGCAGCGGAGAGGTTCTCCTCTGCCACTCAGGGCCTCCAGAGGTGCCCCGCGGCACCTGGCACCTGGTGGGCACTTAGTCTAGGGCAACTGGAGGGAAGCCAGAGAGGAGGGGCCTGGGCATCGGGCAGGAGCCGCGGAGGCAGGAGGGAGCCGTGGGGGGACTTGAGCTGAGGGGACAGGAGGGAGCCTGGGGGGACTTGAGCTGGGGGGCAGGCTCCTGGCTGGGCTTGCGGGAACCACAAGGGGCTTGGCGGTGGCCTTGGCTGGAGCACGGGGAGTGGCCACACTGCAGAAGGGAGAAGTGGAAAGACTGGAAATCGGGTGGATGGAGGGCTCCGGACCTCCCACCCCCAGACAAGAGTGGGGTGGGGGCACAGCAGAGGAAGCAAGTTGGGGGCCGGGGCTTCGTGGGATGGGAAAGCAGGGAGGGGACGTGTTGGGAGGGTCCCTCAGACTAGGGGCTGAGGATGAAGGTCAGGGAAGCGGCCCCGCCCGGGTCACACCAGGATGGGAGCGGTTACAGAGGGTCCCAGCGCCCCCAGGCCTGACCTCTGTGCCCCATCTCCCCTGCCCCCGCCCGTCCTGCAGAAGCTGAAGGAGGAGATCGCGGATGTGTTTGCCCAGATCGACTGCTTCGAGAGCGCCGAGGAGAGGTGAGGCCCCTGCCCACCGCCCTGCCACGCCCAGGCCCCCGGGGGCTCCACCGCCATCCAGGCTCCACAGGGCCCCTCGGGGTCCAGCCTGGTAGCCCCCGGGGAAGAGCCGGGCCCTGTCCTCTCCTCACCCAGGTGGCTCCGCTGCAGGACCTGGGGTCCTGGAGGCCCCCGAGGAAGGGCCTGGGCAGGTGGAGGGGGTCCTGCCGGGTCCTGGGGCGGCCACACTGACACCCTCACTCCCGCAGCCGGATGGCCCAGAAGGAGAAGGAGCTTTGCATGGGAAGGAAGAAGTTCAACATGGACCCCGCGAAGGTACCGGCCTCCCGCGCCCTGCCCTGGCTGCTGGGCTCCCTTCCCCCCAGGGACAGAGGCGATGGCCGGTGGAGGAGGCACAGGCAGCCAGCAGGGGGCGCCAGGCTGGAGTGCTGGGGAGCTCCCTGGTCAGCTGAGGCCGCCTCTTCCCCAACAGCCCTGAGTGTCACGGGTGCCCACCGTCACCGTCACTGATCCCAGGCCCCTGCCCCCATCCACCGGGACCCAAGCACACACGCACACACTCCAAGCCACACGCACACTGCCCCACTCGCTGTCCAGCACCCTGCTCTGCCGGCTTCCAGAAGCCTCCTGTCCAGGAGGAGGAGGCCCTCAGGGGTCCCCCAGGAACCCAGAGACAACCCGCGGTCTCCTGGACGTTGGATGACAGGCTCTGAGTGCCCGGGTCATGGGCTCCGTGAAGTCACACGAGGCTCAGGGCTCCGTGGGGAGGGGAGGCCCTTCACGGCGGCCACCCACCTCCCGTGGGGGGCCCTGGGTGTCCCTCCCCTCTGCTGGTTTTTTCTAACTTTTCACAGTGGCCATAGGTCACTTGTGTGACCAAGCGAAGGGCTATTTTTAATTAATATGAGTTTTGGGGGGACGGAGGGCGGAATCGCTGAGTCTTAGCAACACGCTGAAGCCCGTCAGGGGAAGCCCGTTGGGGGGACATCGGGCTGCGGGGCCCTGGGAGCCCTGGCAGGAGCCTGGTTCCCTGCGGGGACTCTGGCCCTTTGCAGCCTCCAGGCCTGGGGAGCTCACAAAGGCAGTTCCTGTTCAGAGGGACAACCGAGCCCACCAGGCTGGCCCCGGGCCTGGCCACAGGCTCCCTGCTCCAGGCCTGCCTCGGGGCAGGGGCTGCACACAGAGGCCACATGTCACCTGCAGGGCATCCAGTACCTCACTGAGCACAAGCTGCTGACCCCGGACGTCCAGGACATCGCCCAGTTCCTGTATAAGGGCGAGGGCCTCAGCAAGACGGCCATCGGCACCTATCTGGGGGAGAGGTGAGGGGCTGGGGCCTCAGGGAGCCAGGAACCAAGGGGTGCAGGGGAGGGAGAGTGAGCCACCCGGGAAAGACCAGACCCAGCACCCCGCCGCGCTGCGCCATAGTGTGGAGCAAGCCCGGTGGCTGCTGGGCTCCAGGCACTGCGGTAAGTCCTGGGTTTCCAAGACGGACCAAACTGGCCTCAGTTCCTACCAGGGGGACAGATCCCAACACCACGTAAAATATGTCGTAAGATGATGAGTTCTGTGGAGACCAAAGGGAAGGGAGGTCCAGGAGCTGAGGACCTGGCTTGGGCTGTGGCTTTAAATAGTGTGGACAGGAAGGCTCCCAGGGAAGGTGACGGAAACTCACAGAAGGACGGGCATGGGCAGTGCATAGATTCCAGGCAGAGATATCAGCCAGTGCAAAGGCCCTGGGGCAGAAGCAGGCTCAAGAAACGGCACGTTGATGAGACAGAGATAGCAAGAGACAGAGGAAGGAAGTAGTAGGAAACAAGTTGGGGGTCTGTAGAGGGTCTGGGCAGAGAAGTAGTCTGTGACCATCCTCTGGCTGATGGATGGGGGTGGACTGTAGGGGGCCAGGGTTGAACTGGGCCAGCAAGCCAAGACCCCTTCTCCCAAGCTCCCCAGAGGACATGTGCCCCTTGAGCGAGGTGGGGGGAGGTGGGGGGAGGAGGGCAGCTCTTCCTGGCTTCAGAGCTGGGAAGAGGGGGACCCGGGGAACAGGGCTGTCAAGGCCCAGCCCAGGAAACCCCGGCGGGGGCCTTGATCAGGTCACTCAGGCAGGAAGGAATCAAGGAAGGATTGGACGGGGCAGGCCAGCTCCTGGGGGAGAGCAGGGCTGGTGGCCCCCAGGGTCTGTGCCCACATGGAGGGGACAAGGGGGGACACAGGCACGTCCCCAGGGGTGATGGGGGGCAGAACCTATCATGAGTGGAGGAGACGGTGCTGGTGGGACCCGAGGACGGACCCCCTCCCTGCCCCTCCCCGGGCGGCTCCAGGAGGTGGGTACACAGTCCCTTCCACCCTCCCAGGGACCCCACCAACCTGCAGGTCCTCCAGGCCTTTGTGGACTGCCACGAGTTTGCCAACCTCAACCTCGTCCAGGCCCTCAGGTGAGCCGTGGAGGGGGCAGGGTCTGCAGGGTGGGGACATGGGAACCCACAAGCAGACCGCAGCCACCAAGAGTCAGGCATGAAGACGAGGAGCCTGTCCTGTCCCCAACCAACCCCTAGAACCACCCTCCTGCCTACGCGTCTGGAGCCCGACTGCCCAGGGACAGTCCCAGATCTGCCTCTCACGCCCTGTGTGACCTGGGGCAAGTCACAAAAAAGAAACCTCTCTGTGCCCCGGTTTCCTCATCTGTAAAAGAGCCCAAGAACAGTACAGGTTCCCAGGGGTGTAAGGACCAGGGAGAAAGTGCTCAGGGGCCACGGCGAGTGCTGAGAAGTGCTGCCTCCGGGAGGGGCGCTTGGCCCGGGTGTTGAAGGGTGAGTAGGAGTCGGCAGGGAGGAAGCCCGGCCTCCCTCCGCCCACACCTTTAGAGGAGAAGAGCAGGGGGCTGGGGGCCCCGTGTCCGGTCACTCGTGCACCTGCCTATCGAGCAGGGCCTGGGTGAGCAGGTCCGGGGGCCCTGGGAGGCCCAGCCCTCGCCCCAGGACTGCACCTGTCACTGGAACCACCAACGTGCAGAGCCCAAGGGGCGCCCAGCCAGGGAGGCCGTGCCAGGGGCCACAGGCAGAGCCCAGGGCCCCGTGGCCAGAGCAGGGGAGCCCTGAGCCCCGTGGGCGGGGGCTGAGGGTGTGAGGGCCTGGAAGACAGTTGCAGATTCTCTGGTTCACTCCATAAGGGGACAGGCCTGGTGGGCGCCGTGGCTTTCTAGGCCCCCGGGGGCCCGCCCTCTGCTGCCCACCACCCTCTGCTGCCCCCCGCCCTCCTCCCCAGGCAGTTCCTCTGGAGCTTCCGGCTGCCCGGGGAGGCCCAGAAGATCGACAGGATGATGGAGGCCTTCGCCGCCCGCTACTGCCTCTGCAACCCCGGGGTCTTCCAGTCCACAGGTGCGGAGGGGGCCGAGGCTCTGGGACCCTCCACGCTGCCAGGCGCAGACCTGCCCCAAGGGCGCCAGGGCCCGCCCTCAGGACCCCCAGCACCAGACCCTTCAGGAGCCCTCGCTGAGCACAGGTCGGGGCCAGGCCTCCGCTGGTTGCCTGCAGGCGGAGCCGCCCCGGGGAGAGGTGGCAGGGAGTGAGGGCACAGGTGCTGGACTAGAGCATCACCTCTGTCTGAGGGTAGGAGTAGGGGGGTCAGCGGCCCCCCAGGACGGCTTCCCAGGGGTGGCAAGGTCTGAACGGGGTTTTGAAGGATGAATAGGAGTTTGCAGGAGGTCATGGGAAGGGACTTTTCAGAGCACCAGATCTGAATCGCAGTCCGACTGGTTTGTTAGTTTGGAAGCTTGGGCCTGTGACTTAACCTCCTTGTGCCTCAGTTTCCTCACCTGTGAAATGGAGGTGGTGACAGCACCTGCCTCGCAGGGCCGCAAGGGGAGGTCCAGAGCTTAGCCTGGGGCAGTGCTGTGGGAGGGGGAATCGCGCTCTAGACCCGGAGCTGCTTAAAGACTCACCTCAGATGCAGAGCTGAAGGTCAAGGGGTTGGGGACTTCCCTGGCTCTGGGCCCAGGGACTGAATATTCCCTAAAAGACCCAGAATAGCGACCACGGTCCCCAAAGCCCCAGCCGGCCCCGCCCCCAGCACAGGAATACTCCCCAGGGGGCAGCAAGGTCACTGAGCAGCACGTGACAAGCCCCAAAGTCCTGCCAACCCTCAGTGTTCCAGTGGGCAGGGGCCGGTGGGCCGCCGGGCGGGGGAGGCGGAGCCGGGGCTGGGGGGACTGTTCAGTGGAGGAGAGGACGGAGGGCGTGGGGCGCCCAGGGAGGGCCGGGGGCGCGGCTGGGGTGACGGTGGCCGGGAAAGTGGTTTGTGTGCACGGAGTCCAGCAAGAGCAGGGGCCGGGCCAGGGGCAGAATGGGCTGAGTGGCCCTGGCAGGCCAGAGGTCAGCGCCATGACCGCGTCCTGCAGACACCTGCTACGTGCTGTCCTTCTCCATCATCATGCTCAACACGGGCCTGCACAACCCCAGCGTCCGCGACAGGCCGCCTTTCGAGCGCTTCGTGTCCATGAACCGCGGCATCAACGACGGCAGTGACCTGCCCGAGGAGCAGCTTCGGGTAAGGGTCAGGCCACGGCCCCGGGTCCCGGGCAGCCAGAGGGGCCTGTCCTGAGATGATGGCCTGGGGGGCTCCCCGGCACAGGCCACGCCTGGAGGGGACGTGCTGAGGTGGACCCGCCAGGCCCGAGACGGACGGTCATAAAGGCGGTTGGTCCAGGAGTGGGTCCTCCCAGGCCCCGTCCGGGGAGGACGTCTGGAGCCAGCCCACCCACAGGCCTCCCAGATTCAGGGCCCTGGGGGACGCTGGGCGACGGCATCCACACCTTCCTGGAAGGACGCCCCCGCAGACAGGCCTGCCGCTTGGAACCCCAGAGCCTCCACCCGCCCTTGTCCCTCGGAGCCCAGCTCCTGTCCCCTAGGTGAATGACCCTCCCACCACACGGCACCAGGCCTGTGCCCACAGGAGGTCTCCGGACAGCTGGACAGGCCCTGCCTGACCACGTCCAGGGCCTGGCAGGAAGATCTACCTGTGAATGACCGCCCTGGCTCACTGATGCCACACTAACCGTGGGACCCGGGGACCATGGCCGTGAAAGCCCAGGGACACTGCTCAGTCCCCCGGGAACCTCCCCAGAAGAGGTGGCTTCCGAGCTGGCCTCGGTCCTGACTGGGAGTTCCCAGAGAGAAGCAGGGAGGACATTCCGGAAGGAAACAGCACCAGGGCCCGGCCTGGCTTGGCCGGGAAGGGGAGGGGCCAGTGTGGCCAGCTGACGAGTGGCTACTGTGGCAGGACGGTGGCAGGGGCCCCACGTCCAGGGCCTTGGATGACAGAGACACGGAACCAGGGGTCGATAAACACGGGAGGGAGGGAGGGGCAAGGCCTGGTCAGGTGAGCGGCCAGTTCCCGTCCAGAACTCGAGGCCCCGCGGCTCCACGGCCCAGCACCCACCAGGGTCCTCCTGCCTCAGGGCCTGGCGGGGCTGCGACGGTTCTGGGCCTCCGTTCTGGGCCTCTCGGGGCTGGAGTGCATCCTCCCCCGCCCTCCGCCACCTCTGTCCCCAGAGGAGAGAGTTGGTCACAGAGGGACCATGACATAGAGCCGGGAGCTGAGAGCTGGCTGGAGCTCTCGGCCGCATGTCCCCCATCTGCCCACTGGGTGGCCTCAGGTCACTGGGGTCTAAGCTACTCCCCCCGCCCCGGGCATCAGGGTTCTAAGGCCTGTCACAAGGAGGCCACTGCAAGGAGGGATTCTTAAAATTCAGAGGCAGAGCCGTGCCAGGTCGGTGGCCTGGGGCCGGCACACCTAGGCCGCCGGCAGGTGATGAGTTCCGTGCCGCCAGCTCTCCCGGGTCCAGGTCGCTGTCCTTGCCAGGACCCTCTTCCCACCTCCCTCCCTGGGCACTTTTCCCAGTTCCAGCCTTTCCTCGAGAGCACTCGGCCACATCTGGTCACATCCGTCCAGAGCTTGTGACTTTCTCCCAGGGCTTTGGGTCTCTTATCTCAACTGAGCTTCCAAATCCGCAGACCCGCCCGGAGCGCTGGCCGGCCTCGTTCTCCTCTCGGGCAGAGCCTCGTCCAGCCCGGGCTGCCTGTCCTCTGGGCCGTGTCAGGCCAGCACTTGGCCTCTCTGAGCACGTCCAAGGGCCTGGGGTGGCTGGGGTGGCCCGTCAACCTCGAAGCTCCCCTGGGCGTCACCAGAGAGCGCGCAGGCCTGGTCTGCACCATCACGGGGGCCTGGTGGATGTCATCTGCTCTCAGGGCCAATGACCCTGACTCACAGTGTCATCTGAGAAGCTGTGTCTGGCACTCAGCGGGAACCTGGGAGGGTCACCGTGCTCGCTGGGAGCCACTAGGAAGGGAGCCGGGGTGCAGGGGTGGAGCCGCGAGGGACCCGGGAACAGGTGGGGAAGTGGAGGTGGCCAGGTGGAGGGCCTCCCAGCTCGGGGCGTCCTCTGCTCTCGGCAGCCCTTGAGCCCCCGGGTCCTCGTCCTGGGCTCTGATCAGAGCAGGCCGCGAGCCCAGCACAGTGTCGAGCACGTCCTGGTGGCGGTGAGCTCCCGCATCCCCACTGGACAGCCAAGGACACTGGGCTCCAGGAAGGAGGCTGCCGCGGTCTCCTGGCTTCTGAGAAGTCCCAGTTCAAGGCCGTGCTGGACCCAGACCCGTGCTGGATCCTCTGCAGAGATGCCAAGCAGAGTCTGGGGACAGAGGCTTGGCTGAGCTGGCCGGGGGTCCTGACTTCTTGGCCGGGGGAATCTCAACTCATGTCGCTGAAAAGACCAGGGGTCAATTAGCCTTCCGACTGTGGGCTTCAGGCTCAGCTAGCTCCTGGGGCTCAGGGACGTCGATGCTCCGCCTGGGGGCTCCATCTCTTAGCCCCCCTCCTCCATGGCTCTCCTCCTAAACACGCTGTGCCCGAGCTGTGCCAGAGATGGCCTGGGCAGCTCTGAGCCTCGGACTTGCTTAGCTTCCCTGTCGCTTCGCTGTTTAAGTCCAGAATCGAGGCTATCGACCGGCTTGGGTGGCAGGACCCTCCCTGAACCGTCACTGCAGCTGGTGGTAGGAGCCAACAGGTCCCCATCAGCCAGATGTGAGTCATCTGGAGCCCAGGGCGGGGTGTCAACCCCTCTGAGCAACCAGGCGAAGAGAGGTGACTCCCCAGAGAGGGGAGTGGGGGCCACCAAAGGCCCAGCAGAGCCCCTGGGTGGGGGGGGGAGGGGGCTTCTGCACTCCACGCAGCCAGGAGAGGGTGGCTGGGCCCTGTACTTTGGGGACAGTGGATGAGGGGTGTCTGGCAGGGAGCCGTTGTTTGTGAGGTACAGGAAGCCCAGCGAGCAGAGCTGCTTTCTTTGTGGGGTAGAATGCACAAGCTGATAAGGCCACCAGGCCACCACAGCGTCTGCAGGGCCCCTGTGGTTTGTGGAGGCTGAGGCTTCCTCCTCGCCCCCCAGCCCCCTCCCCCTGCCCCCCCAGCCTCTCAAATGCGAGTCTGCGCTGACATCTCTGCAATGGGCCCCTCCTGCTGCAGTCCCCTGCTCCCCCCACCAGTGCCACCTGGAAATTCCCAGGGCCAGTCCGGCCTGGGGACAGGGGCTCCCCCAAGAGACACTGGTCCCTGCTGCTCCCCACGGCCCCAGCACTGCAGCCAGGCTGAGCCCAGGGGACATGCCCAAGCCCCGCCCCCATTAAGCCCAGGAGAGCCTGATGCTGGCCTGTGCCCCCCACTGGGCCCTGAGCTCTGGGTCACAAAGGACCACACAGCCGGCCAGCACCGTGTTTAAGAACTTTGGGAGAATCAGACAGGACTTGGGTAATTTTCCATTAAAAATCTCGAGGAACCATCAACAGCAACAGAGGCAGCAAACGGAAGTGGTTGACTCTCTTGGCCAACATCCTGTCTGGCTTTACCAGGCAGAGCAGCCATCGAGAATGCTCCCCCCACACACTCGGGAGGCGGGCAGGTTGCTCAGGACAGGAGATCGAAAACCCAGCAGCTGCAGCTTGCCCGCCCAGGGGTCCTGGCCCTGACTTGCTCACCTCCAGTGACGGGGAGCTCATTACCACCCTACAAGGTTGCTCTGCCCAGATTTCAGAGCCCTCGCTGCCAGAAAGTCTTCCACGGAGAACTGAAATCTGCTTTCTGGTCCCACAGTCAGAGCCCACCAGACAGGGCGGCGGGAGAGGGCCTTGGAGAGCCGTGGTCAGCCTCCTGCCCGGGGCTCCCCTTCTGCCAGCCCAGTGTGCATCTGGAAAGTTCTGTCCAGAAGAGGGGGCCATCCACCATGGCATTGCCCGAGGGTACCCTCACTCTGGCTGCTGCGCCTGGAGTGTGTGTGTGGGGGGGGCGGTGGGTGTGCATGTGTATGTATGTGTGTGTATGTGGGTGTGTATGTGGGTGTGTGTATGGTGTGTATGTGTAGGTGTGCCTGTGTGTGTATGTGTGTGTGGGTGAGTGTGTATGTGTGTGCCTGTGTGTGCATGTGTGTGTGGGTGTGTGTGTATGTGTGTGTATATGTGGGGGTGTGTGTGTATGTGTGTGTGCATGTGTGTGAGTGTGTGTGGGGTGTGTGTGTGTGGGTGTGGGTGTGTATATGTGGGTGGGTGTGTATATGTGGATGTGTGTATATGGGTGTGCATGTGGGTGTGTGTATGTGTGTATATATGTGTATGTGTGCCTGTGTGTGTATGTGTGTGTGGGTGAGTGTGTATGTGTGTGCATGTGTGTGGGTGTGTGTATGTGTGTGTATATGTGGGGGTGTGTGTGTGCATGTGTGTGTGAGTGTGTGTGTGTGGGGTGTGTGTGTGTGGGTGTGGGTGTGTATATGTGGGTGGGTGTGTATATGTGGATGTGTGTATATGGGTGTGCATGTGGGTGTGTGTATGTGTGTATATATGTGTATGTGTGTGGGGAGGTGTAGTGTGTAGGGGGATGTATATGTGGGTGTGTGTATGTGGGTGTGCATGTGTGTATGTGTGGGGGTGTGTATGTATGTGTATATGTATGTGTGTGGGTGTGTATGTGTATGTGGGTGGGTGTGGTGTGTCTGTGTGTGTGTATGTTTGTTGGGGTGTGTATGTGTGTGTATGTAGGTGTGTGGGGGTGTGGGGGGTATGTGTGTGTGGTGTGTCTGGGTGTGTGTATATGGGTGTGTGGGGGGTGGGGGGTGTGTCTGGGTGTGTGTGTGTGGGTGTAGTGTGTGTGGGGGGGGTGTGTATGTGGGGGTGTATATGTGGGTGTGTGTATGTGGGGGAGTGTATGTATGTGTATATGTATGTGTGTGGGGGTGTGTATGTGGGTGTGTGTGGTGTGTCTGGGTGTGTGTATGTGGGTGTGTGTGTGTTTGTGGGGGTGTGGGGGGGTGGTCACACACACCTCTGAGGCCCTGACCCCACCCTGCAGTAGCACTGGGGAGGATGGCAAGGACATGGCAGAAGGGTGGCACCCATGGGCCTGGGGGACCGGGAGGGTTTCTCCCAGAAGAGCCTAAAGGTGGGACGGGCCACCAGGAGAGGAAAGGGCGTGGCTTGCTGAGGTCACATGGACCACCAGGCCCTGGGTGGAACTTGGGGCTCACCCAGGGCGCTCCCCCTCCTGGCAGAACCTCTTCGACAGCATCAAGAGGGAGCCCTTCTCCATCCCTGAGGACGATGGCGGCGACCTCACCCACACCTTCTTCAACCCTGACCGTGAGGGCTGGCTGCTCAAGCTGGGTAAGAGCCAAGAGGTCCAGCCGCTCCACACCGTGGCCACAGGGATGGCAACCAGCAGACACACTCACAAGCCCCAGGGTTGGGGGGCTTGGCCCTGGGTCTCCCGAGCCCCAGCCTGGCAGTCGGCCTGCACCCCCCCATCCATCCACCCACTGATCCACCCATCCATTCCCCCACCCATCCATCCATCTGTCCACTCACATATCCACCCACCCATCCACCCATCAATCCACCCACCCACCCACCCACCCACTCACCCATCCATCCTCCCATCCTCCCATCCACCCTCCCTTCATTCTTCTGTCCTGGGAATGAGGGGCTGGTGGCGGGGAGCCACGCTGGAAGGCACCAGGGGGCCCAGGCATCTGTGGACAGTTCGGCCCTCCCTGCTGGAGAGCTGGAGAGAGCGTCCTAAGGGAGGTGCCGTCTGTCCAGGCCCTCCTAATGCAGTCCTCTGCAGCCCAGCCTTTCTGAGGTAGCCAAGGCACCCACCTCGCCAGCCGGTGGGGATTGGTGGGGGCAGAGGGCTTCCCTGCAGGAAGGGGAGGGAGTGTGAAGTGTGACCCAGGACGCTGGGCGTGGCAGGGGCAGCAGCAGCAGGCTCCGTGCTGGAGCAGGCCCTTGGCCAGGGCGGCCCCCAGCGTCTACGGGTGCACAGCCCTGTGCCAGCCCCTGCGCCCCCCGAGCCCTGTTGCCCAGCCCAGTCTGTCCTCTGTCCAGCCCCTGCCGTCTGCTCTCAGGCCGGGGGCAGCTCGCAGTCACGGTCCCTGACCAGGCAGGGGCACAGCTCAGAGCCACACGCCCAGGGCTCACTCTCCTGCTCTTCACCAGAGGCCAGCGGTCAGGCTCCGGCCTCAGCTTCTGCAGTTGAGTGGGGACAGTGATCCCTTAAGAGGCTGAGTCATGTTTGGGCCTAGAATCGGGCCCCTGGGGTCTGGGCCTCAGCTCTTCCCCTTGGCAGGGCCCAGGGCAGACGGCGGGTCCTGCGGCTGTAACCGGGGTTAACAGGGCTCCTGTCCCACCCGGGAGGGTCAATAGGTAAATGTCCCCAAATCCTGTAGAACCAGGCAGGCAGATAAAAGGTGAAGTGCCCACTGAGTGACCGCAGGCACCAGGCCAGGGCATGAGCCCAGGGCGATGGCAGGGCAGGGCCTCCCTGTTCCGGGGGCCTGGTCACCAGGGAGCCCCAGTGTGGGACAAGCCCGGGGTGCAGGGGCTGCTGAGGCTTCTGTGGGCGGATGGCAAGGGGCGGGCGGGGGGTGAGGGGACTCTCCCTCCTCTGGTGGGTCCCAGGGAGGCACACACAAGGCCCAGCCCTGGGATGGAGGGAACACGGGTGGCCAGGAAGGGAGGAGGACTGACCTCCCCTGCTACGGGCCTCTTGCAGGGGGCCGCGTGAAGACCTGGAAGCGGCGCTGGTTCATCCTGACGGACAACTGCCTCTACTACTTCGAGTTCACCACTGTGAGCCCAGCAGCCCGCCCCTGCCCCTGGCCCTGCCCCTGCCCCCGGCCCTGCCCCCGGCCCTGCCCCTCCAAACCCCAGGAACCTGCCGTGAAGGGAGGGGACCCTTGGAGATCCGGGGTCCGCGGCCACACCCACTTCACAGATGGGGAATCCAGGGCGCCGGGAGGAGGACCTGGGCAAGGAGCGGGCAGCCCTGGGCGACGGCCACTCCTCTTCGGGCCTGGGGAACCCCGGCCCCCTCCCTGCACTTGGCCTCAGTTCCATTTGCCCAGCCTGGCCTCCCTCCCTCCCTGTAGGACAAGGAGCCCCGGGGGATCATCCCCCTGGAGAACCTCTCGGTGGAGAAGGTGGAGGACCCCAAGAAGCCGGTGAGAGGCCAGTGGGCAGGGCCAGCGCTGCTGGGGAGGACAGGGCAGGAGGCAGGGCTCTCGGGAGGCCAGCCTCTCCCTCCCGGTCCAGGGACCAGGGCACAGGCCAGTGGCTGGGTGACTGGAGCTTGGCTCTTCCCTGAGCCCCGTCTCCCCGTCACGTGGGGACTTCAGGGAGGCAGTGGCTTGGGTTGGCCTGGGGCATCACTGTGGGTAGGGACAGCCCCCGTTCCTCCGCCGGACACAGGAAGCCGCCCATGGGGTGGCAGGGGTCCTGTGGGGATCACGGGCTGCTTGTTGGATCCCCGCCTCGCCTGGGGGTCTTGGCCTTGCCTGGGGGTCTCGACCTCCCTGAGCCTTCTGGAGGCCCGACCGGGGTCTCCCCTGACCCTCCCCGGCTCCCCCAGTTCTGCCTGGAGCTGTACAACCCCAGCTGCCGCGGCCAGAAGATCAAGGCCTGCAAGACAGACGGCGAGGGCAAGGTGGTGGAGGGCCGGCACGGCTCCTACCGCATCTCGGCCTCCAGCGCCGAGGAGCGGGACCAGTGGATCGAGGCCATCCGGTGAGGCCCCTGTTGCAGGCCCCGGTTCTCTGGGCCTTCCGGCCCTGTGTGCAAAGGGACCAGCTCCGAGGTCTCCTCCTGTTCCTGAGGTGCCGGTCCCCTCCACCCATGTTCCACGGGCATTTCCCTGGCACCATGCCAGGCCCTGGGACACGGGAGGGCGTCCAGGGGCTGTGAGAACACGGGGAGTTGTGTGGAGAGCACCGGCCAGCTCCTGGCCTGTAGGGTGACCCGCCAGATCACCAGCCTCTGGGAGGGGCTTTCTAGGAAGGACCAAGGTAGACAAAGCCTGAGGGCTGATCAGTGGGTGGCCTCCCAGGACAGCACCCCAGAGTCCAGGTGAGGCTGAGCCGCGTGGGGGCGGAGCAGTGAGCATGCTGCATCAGACGGCAAAGGCACTGTGGCCACGGCGACACGCCTTGGTTTCTTCTAGGGGCACTAGGGAGCCGGGGACTAGTAGGTAGGAGGGGTGTGCCAGGTGAGGACACCCACCACGTGGGGCCGGTTCTGAAGAGCCAAGGTAGGATGCTGTCATCACAGTCCAGGGGACAGAAGCCCCAGCGGCCACTGATGGAGGAGAAGGGGGGGAAGGGACACCTGGAAGGTACCAGGTGACAAGCTGCTCGGGGCCTGACATGAGCAAGGGCAGGAGCTTCTGCTAGAGAGCAGGCGTGGCCGGCCGTGTCCCGGGACTCGGGCCTTGGAGCAGCCCGTGAGGCTGCCCGCAGACCCCGCCCGTCTCCACCTCACTGATGGGGAAATCGAGGCCAAGAGAGGACAGACCTCGTCCAGGGCAGTGAGCCTGTGAGGTCCGCTGGCCCACAGCCAGGCTGCCCTCAGGCCCGGGGACGCTGTGGGACAAGTTCCCAAGACTCTGCCCCCGGCTCTCTGGCCGGCCCGTGGGATGCTGGGCAAGGCCAGTGACGCCGGCCCCTCCTGGCTCTGTCCTTTCGGGGCCACCCGCCCCTGACCCCATCTGGAACCTTCTCTCCTCTCACTGCAGGGCCAGCATCACCCGTGTCCCCTTCTACGACCTGGTCTCCGCTCGGAAGAAGAAGATCGCCAGCAGGAAGTGAGGCTCCCGGGAGGTGGCACGGGGCCGGCACCCTGGTCCCCTGGACTTGTGGAACCCCTCCCCCAGGGCGCCCTCTCCGGGCCACAGACACCGCCACCCGCCAGGGGTGGGCAGGACGGAGGACACAGAGCCTGGCTGTGAGACCGACGCGCAGCTCTGGGGCGAGCCCGGAGCCCTGGCCCAGGCCCACTGCAGTGAGGGCCAGGAGAAGGGCGGAGAGAAGCCAGCTGGACCCGGACACCCAGCCCTCCCTGGGCAGCCTGTCCTCAGCCCTTTGCTCTCAGAAGTTCCGCAGCCCTCCAAGCGGGGGGCTGAGGCTCCTGGGGCTTCCGCCCTCGCCAACCCTCCACCTGCTCAGGTCTGCAGGTCGGGCCCCACTCTCGCTGCCTGAGACCCACGAACAGGACCCAGGAGCCCAGACCCACGGTCCAGACCTACCTCTGGCCCTCCCCGCGCCCTCGGCCAAGCCGGGCCCCTCCCTGGTTCCTGCAGAACCACAGAGTTTGGACTGGAAACGTCTGGGCCTGCGGGTTCCAGGCCCATGAGCAGCTAGGGCCGGTGGCACTGGTCTGCTGAGCTGGGTGACAGTCCTGGCTGCTGGGGGAGCAGGGCAGACTCCACCCCAGGCTGTCCACCTGGGAGGCAGGACAGGCAGGACTCCAGCAGGACGGTGCTGCCATCAGGGTGGAGCTTTGCAGGCCTGGTCCCCAGGAGGACTTCCTGGAGGCAGCGGCCAAACCCAGGAGCAGCACACGGGGTCCATGCGTGGAGAGGCAGCGTCTCCCTTGGTTTCCCTGCTGGACCCTGGCCAGCACCGCCACGGTAGTGAGGGGTGGCACAGCGGGTCCCAGCGCCCCAGGCCCTGCCCAGTGCAGCACATGGGAGAGCAGGGCCACCAACCCCAGGCAGACAGCTCTGTCTCCAGGGAGGCTCCGCCTGGAGGAGGATCCGGGGACAGTCTTCCCAGAAGCTCTGCAGGGAGCCTCCCTGGCAAGGCAGCAGGAAGCGGGCAGCAGGTTCCCCAGGAGGAGCCGCAGTGGCCACGTGGCCCTCCGCCCCCCGCCCCACCCTGGTGCACGCTGTCCAGGGGCCAGGTGGAGAGGCCACAGAAGGTGGTGGGAGCTCTGTCTGGAGATGGCAGGTACCTGGCAGCCGTGTTGCACCCCTGCGGGCATCGGCAGGACATGTGGGGACTTCTTCGGATCACAGCCTGTGGCGCCGCCCCATTAGGCCAGTGAAAGGGCCTCAGGGGTCCGTGGAAGGAACACTGGCCGGGGGCTGAGGTCAAGGTCCTCTCCTGCCTCTGGCTCACGTGAACTCTGCGACCTTCATCTATTCCTGCCCTCGCTGGTCCCCAGCTCCTCCCATCAGCAAAGGACAGGCACGAGTGGCTGATCTGATGGTCTCTCGGACAGAGGACAGAATAAAGTCCCCGTCCAGCGCGCAGCGGGCTCTGTCCTTCCACGACCGTCTCTGCCATCCCTGACCCCACCTTCGCCTCTGTCCCTTTCCCAAACAGGGAGGAGTGGGCCCTCAGATAGTCCTGGAACCGCATCCTCGGGACACCAGGGCTACCGGGCTGGACAGAAGTCCCCAGGGACTGGACTTCCGCCAGGCTGGGCTGAGCTGGGTCTGCTGTCCAGGCAGCACCAACCACAGACAGAACCTCTGTCACCTTGACAGGCAGCTGTGTTCTCCCCGTGTCCAGGGTGTAGGCACGGGCTGGCTACAGTGGTCACTCGAGGGGCCACAGGGAGGCTGGGTGTGTGACCTTCGTCCACCTGGACTCTCAGAGGTGTTTATGGCACACCTGCAGTGTGTCAGACCAAATCCCTGCCCACTGGGTCCTGAGCCCTAGGGCTCTGGGCAGACCCCAGAGGACATAGGACACCAAGGTCGCCCCACACCTTATCCCGGCTCCCACCCTGAACTCCACCCCTGGGGCCCCTCCTCGAAGACCGTAAGGAGGTGAGCTGCTGACCTACCTGCACACGCCTTCCTTCAGCCTGTGCTTATTGAGCACTTACTATGTGCCAGGATCCTTGCACAGAGCCAGGGATCCAAGGATGACCCAGACGAAGCCCTCGCCTTACAGAAGCCACAGGGGTGGACAAAGTCCGAGCCCAGGCTGACCTGCGCTGTGGCAGAGGGGAGCACCGGGCACGGCTGGGCAGAGGGGCCATCGGGAGAGGCTTCTCCAAGGAGGAGCCAGCTTGTGGTAGCCAGGCCTGGAAATGCAGTGAGGTCACCTCATGTCTGCCTCTGGCTGGCCTGTGAGCTCCCAGGGGCCCGACTGTACTCACGCTCAGTGCGGGGTACACAGTAGGTGTCTCATAACTGCTGGGTTGGCTGCAGGCAGCAGACAAAGGCCCTGGTGGCCTCAGCATGAGCAGGCTCAGGCGTCTGGAGGCACAGGGAACGGCGAGGGCGCTGCCAGGGAAGGGCAGTGGGAGACGCCAGGAGGGCCACAGGTCCCCTCAGCCGCCGGGTAAGCTCTGCCCGCCTTGCAGACACCCTGCCACTTCCCGCTCTGGGCAGCAGGGGGCGCCCACCCCACGTGGATGAGCGCAGCCAGCCCCGTCCACCTGGAAGCCCAGCGGCTGGCAGGGATGGGCACAGGGCCAGGGCCTGGCCCCCTGGTCTCCCAGGGTTTTCTGGCTCCAGCAGCCCATGAGCCCCTGGGCACTGGCTAGCATGAGCCCCTTCTCCCAGTGGGCAGCCCCCGCCTGGCCCGGAACCAGGGGAGCCTCTGTCTGGGGTCCCCCGAGACAGCCGCTGCCCTCCCTGGAGGGGGTCCCTCCCTGAGGGGTGGTCCCGAGGACTCGGTCCTGGAGCCTCTGGTGTCGGGGTCTCAGGCACAGGTACAGCGCACTCCTGCCCTGGGACGGCTGGGACAGGTGAGAGCAGACGGGCAGGTGTCGCGATAGCTGCTCCCGCGAAGACCACAGGGCAGCGGTGAGCACCCGGGTCTGGTTCAAGGCCCAGCTCTGCCCTGTGCCCGACGCCGCCTTCCTAAGCTCCGCGGCATCCGGGGCCCGTCTCTAACCGGGATGGCTTCCCACACGCAGGTGGCCAGGTGCCTCGGACGGGGTTGGGTGGCCCGTGTTGGGTGGCCCCTCTGCCGTCTGTCAGGTGTTTCTGTCACATCGCCCCAAGGCAGACTGGGTGCTGGCTGCCATGCAGAGCCAAAGCAGCCCAGGGCGCTGGAGGACGGGTGGTTCACAGGGGCAGCGAGGGAGGGGACCCAGGAGGGCCTTGGAAGAGGCTCCAGGAAGGACACAGGGGTGGGGACCTCGGCCCTCCAGCCTGCGAGGCCGGGAGGACGCGGGACAGGCGAGGTGCTTCCTGGACCCCCTTGGGCCCAAACACAAGCCGGTGGGCCCCGAGGGCGCAGGGTTGAGGGAGGCCGGGTCCAGGAGGGGCTGAGTGGCCTGGGCAGCGCTGGGACCCCTGCCCACCAGCTCTGCCCGCAGGGAGCCGGGCAGGGGCTACGGCAACGCCAGGGTAGAATGGAGGCCGTTTCAGCAAGGTGGGGCGACGTGGCTCCTCCTGGGGCGCAGGAGGACGGAGTAAGAGGCTCTGAGAAGCCAGGGGCCACCGCCAGGCGCCTGTGGGGGAGCCTGTCCACCTGGAGGCCCGGTTTCCGGAGCTGGCAGCTGGCCCTGCATCCGGCTGTCAGGGGACAGGCAGCCCAGCCTCGGAAGCAGGTGTGAGAGACCTGGAGAAATTGATTTATTAGGGACGATGAAAGGAGCTAAATATGTTTGCCGGCTCAGCGATGACTCAGGCGTCCCCCAGGGGTTCGCGAGTGTGAGCATCAAAGAAGCTAAGACAGGCCTCCGCCACAGGGCACCGCCGCCTGAGACCCCTCTTCCCACTAATGGGAGCAGCGGCCACCTGGCCTGCAGGCCCAGCCCCGCCGAGCTCACACAGAGGGACAGAAGAACACAGCCTGGGGTGAGGCACGTCCAGGTCCAACCCCTGGACTTGCCCCAAATTGCTGTGCGATCTTGACAAGTAACTGACCCTCTCTGGACCCGCATTTACCAGCAGGATCCATCCCCGGTGGCCAAGCCCCTCAGCTCCCTCTTGTCTGGACCTCACAGGGGAACACGCTCTGCTGGCACCAGGCTCCGGGCCCTGGGCTGGGCATCAGGAGGGACAGGGATGCATCCCATGCAGGCCAGAGGCACCCAGAGGAGGGCCGGGCCGCCACCCTAGGGGCAGGAGGGGACGGGGACATACGAGACCTGAGGGGCTGCTCCGGAGTGCCTGGGCCCCTTGACATCCGCCTGGGGAGTGTGGGCTGGAGGTGGCCCACCCTGGACAGCAAGTCAGACTCGGAGCAGGAGCGGGGTCCCCTCTGGCCCTGCAAGTCCTGCTTCACCCGAACAAAGTCCCCTCCTTTCACTGATCCCCCGAGCCGTCTGGACCGAGTGGGGAGTCGAGAGGGCGCCAAGCAGGAGGCTCTCTGGGGTGCTCCTCCAGGTCACTCCCAGGGACAGACCAAGGAGTCCAGTGGAAGGAGGACACGGGGGCTGCAGGGGCGAGTGAGGGACAGGTGGTGGCCAGAGAGGAGCAGCCTGGGTTTCAGGAGGGCAGAGGACGGCAGCTCGATGGCCCCCATTCTCCCTGGCATCCCACAGAGGGCAGGCATGGGGGAGCGGGCAGATGACGGGTCACCCTGGGTCAGCGAGGCCCCTGGACTCCCAGGCAGAGACCACCGGCTTCAAGTTAAGTAAGGATGGGGGCTCAAGAGCAAGCCTCCCCCCCAGGGGCCCCTGTCTTTCCCCCCTTCCCTCCCCTCCCTTCCCTCCCCTCCCTTCCCTCCTCCTGCTCGCCTGCCGCTGCTTGGTCATCTGTCCTGGCCCCAGGGCACACTGGCAAGCCCCTGGGCAGGGGTCGGCCTGCAGGCCTGGGCTTGAATCCTGCACCCGCTGTGTGGCTCAGGGCAGATGCACCACGGTCTCTGGACCTCAGTTCCCCGACGCAAGGCCATAGGTGGCAGCTCCAGCCACCAGGGCTCCTCAGAGGCTGTCCTGGTCTCTGACAGCTCAGGCTGGGCGGCGGGAGGACTGCCCTGGGCTCAGAGGGCAGGGGAGTCCGGCCCCTCCCAAGCCAGAGGTTTCCCCTGTCTCCAGGACAGGGTAGAGGCTGCTGGGGCGTGGGCAGGGCCCTGTTGCGTTTGCCCCCAGTGGACACGTGCTCTTTGTTTTGGTCCCAGGGACTGAGCCCAGGGAGGTCTAACCACTGAGCCCCGTCCCCAGCCCTTGGGTCTATGTATTTATTTTTATTTACAGACAGAGTCTCACTAAGTTGCTTAGGGCCTCGTGCTGAGGCTGGCCTTGAGCTTGTGACCGTCCTGGGCCATTACAGGCGTGTGCCACCACGCCCCGCTTTCTCTGTGAGTTAGAGCTGACCCCATGGTCCTGAACACCCGTGCCCACCGCACCCCACCCACGTCAACAGGCCTCTGCCAACGTGCCCTGCAGCCCCAGAGCAGGCTCCACGGTCACCAGACCCAGCCGGAGGGAGGCGCCAGCGCAGAGGCGAAGCCTTTGATTTGGAGCCTAAAGATCAGGGGGCCCGGAGCTCGCCCTCTAACGTGGGCCCCTCGAGGGTGTCCCAGTGCCGGATTAGAAACCAAGACGTGGCCACCAGAGACTGGCCACGTCCACAAGAGCCCAGCAAGGAGGCGGGACATCCCGCGGGGCACTGTGGACTGGACCGAGGCTGCTTTGTCCTGGGAGCCAAGGACAACTGCTCACGCTGAACAACCTGGGCTCAGGCCCCCACCCCAATTCCAACAGACCCTCGTCCTGCTTGAGCCCCCGTCCTGCCCCAAGGTACGTGTGGACTCAGAATGTCCTTGGCAGGCCTGGACGGCTCACGCCCCAGCAGATACCAGCTGTCACAACAGGCTCTTGACGCGGGGAGGTGGGCTCCAGGCTTCTCACCCCTTTCTCCAGGAGCTGCCAAAGGCCTCTTCCTACAGGAAGCCCTCCCTGACCACCCAGCCACCAGGCTCCTTTAAGACCGAGATTTCTGAAAAGCAGCCGTGCCCACCCCAGCACCTGGCCTCCTCCAAAGGACACTCGGCACCTGCTTTTGTCCCAATCCTAAATGCTCCCCGTTTGGCCTTGGAGCCCCAGCTTCAAGGTCCAGGGCTGCTTTCAAGGAAGGCTGAGCTCTAGGTCTGTGCAGGCTGCACGGTCTCCCCCTCCTCCTCCTCCTCCTCCTCCTCCCTCTGCCTCCCCAGGGGACGTCCAGCCCCAGCTTCAGCAGCACCCGCCCCCCCACCCAGGAGGAACCTGAGGCTCCAGGTGTTCAGGGACACGTCCCAGGTGACCCAACACGCAGGCTCCATGCAGAAGACGGCCCAAGGGGGAGGGCACGGGGGAGGGCTCGGGGGAGGGCACGGGGCGGGCACGGGGGAGGGCACGG